GAGAGAGAGAGAGAGAGAGAGAGAGAGAGAGAGAGAGAGAGAGAGGAATAGCAGGGTGGCGGAAAAAGGTGAGGAAACGGACGACATCGAAAGCGTGTATCAATATTGGTCGAAGCCGCCTAAATGTTGGTCTACGCTATCAGCACCGACTGGATACATTATTCATGCGCGATAAAGTATTCTCTGAAGCGAAGCGCACGTACGTGCGCATACAGGCCGGTCCACCCAACGTCGCCGGTTGAAATATATTTCCTTTTTCTTCTTTTAAGCAGCTCCGGGCAGTCGAAGCTTCTTAGACCGTCCGAGGCCCGCGCGTACGCGGTTTCCACCGGTTCGTTTCCACGTGTATCACGATCAACGTTTATTTTACCACCTTTCTCTCCTTCTTCTATGACGCGGGAGCTGTATAAAATCTCAAATTGGCGCCAGAAGGACGTTCTGAATGATAGCGTTAGACATTGACCGCTCTGTACATACCGCGCCGGGCGACGATACGGCACTTTCCGCGCGAGCAAGCCAAAGAGCGGAATATACGAACTTTAAAATAAATATAGACCGACTGAGAGGCGACATTTTTTCGCGTCGTTCGCCGCGCGTATTTAGAACGAAATGGCGGAATGTAGCCCACCGGGTATATAGTCGCCGATTTATCGAGTGTATTATCCATTATTGAAGACCGCGAGTCGGAGATAATAACGTTACCGCACCGATCGACAGTCGTGATTGACCGCCGCGAACGGAGGGTTATTTCTATTTTCTCATTTATAATCTATTACCATAACGTATGAAATATTGCATTTCGATCAAATTCTATGTTCGCTTCAACAGAGATCTAATTTCGCGACATTACAGTACTCCCAACCGAAATTGGCAAGTGGGCGGCAAATATTGCCAACACGCTCGACGAGGAAAATCTTATTTTACCAAAATATTCTCTTCAACCGAGATTCAAGTCGTATAATAAAAAAAAATATTATTAATTTTTCTGACCGATATATCTCGTTACGTCTATGATATTCAACCTATTATAATTTGTCTGAAAGAGAGAGAGAGAGAGAGAGAGAGAGAGAGAGAGAGAGAGAGAGAGTTTGCGTTCGAAAAGTAGTTCGTAGTAGTTCAATTCATATATTTTGTAGAAAATATTGGCACTTGACCAAACTTCGTGATATCATTTTTTTGTAAAAAATACAAATTGTAACAACGATATTTTATTTTAACATTTTAATTTTGGTCAAGCGAGGGAGCACGTACGCTTGATGCTTTTTTATCTTCTTTTTTTTAAGGAAGTTATTCTGTATGTATATATATTTTACACAATCCTACAGATTTGTTTTAAAGAGTTTCCATATTACAAAATAACAAGATCAACTAAAACTTATTTTATATAATATTGATTATAACGTCTAGGAGATGTGATTCTAATGCAAGAGATTAATAAAAAAATATTAATACATATAGTTAGTATCAATGTAATATGATGTGTTAATTAATATGTGAATAATATTCTTTATCATAATTATAATTTTATTAATTATTAGTTATAATCATGCATTTACTGCGTTAACTCTTACTTGTCTAGTTTCACTATGCGATTGTACATCAGAGAGCCTTTCCAAAATTCCAAGAAATATTAAGGCTCACTTCCACAATTTACTTTAACCGAAATTTAAATTGTTAAGAGTTTATTCAGAAAAACTTGCATGTACGTATTACAAAGATATGAAAATTGTTGAAATAATTATTTAAAAAATTATTAGAATACTTTATTTCTTTATTAATTTCCTCTAATTGTTCTTTTCAATAAATGTTTAATTTCAGGAAATATTACAATCTGTAATTAATATCCTTTGTAAGTCTAAAATGATTATAAATTTATATTCCATATTAAACAATTAAATTATATAAATAATGACATATATATCTCTCTCATGTATTATATTAAATTCTATCGTAAGATATATTTTGTATGTAAAAGTAAATTTTTTTATATAAAAAAGTAAGTTACTTACATACGTTAAGAAAAAATACTGGAAAATTTATTTTTGGAATAAAGTTTATTTCTGTGAAATAATTCGTCATTATTTATATAATTTAGTCGTACAATATGTAATACAAATCTGTAATAATTTTAAACTTATAAAAAATATCGAATATAAGAAATTATAATATTTTTTGAAAATCTATTTATTGAAAAGAGCGATTAGAGAAAATTAATAAAGAAATAAAAATTATTCTAATAACTTTCTTTCTATATTCATATGCACAAGGAACTTGACTAATATAAAATGTGTCTAATATAAGAGGCATCCTTTTACTGTACGGATCAGTTGATCCTTATGCATATGCAATATGTGATTTTGCAAGTTTGTCTAATTAAGTCTTTAACGAATTACACTCCAACTAAAGTAAGTTGTAGAAACAAGCCTAAGAATCGCTGAGACAATACGTCTCGCCGTTCACTGTACTGCAAATGCATAACACGCTTCGTGATGTCGACCTGCTCTCACACAATTTTGTTCTTGCGAAATATCTCCTCTTAATGGTCACCACTCGCTCCGCATGACTCCGTTCTTGCGCCGCGTATTCCTGTCGTTGATATTTACGATTATTATTCGGGCAAGCGCGCGCGAACTCGAATAATTTTCGGTTAGTTTCGAGCCACCGCGACGAGACCGTCGGTATCACACTCAGCGAGGACCATTCGTCATTTTGTGGCATAGCACGTACAATTCGACACAAGTTGACACTAATAAGGGAAGCGTGTTTCACTCGGCGGCGAAGCTATCTTTGCCTCGTGCAGCCGTCGTAAATAATCCCGCGCCCGCGTAAATAATTTGTTTGTTTGTTTGTTTGTTTGTCACGGTGAGCAAACGTCAATGCGGGGATCTCGTCGAGCTAACGGGACTCGATATTTTTCCGACGGTTGCATGTAGAAATGGATTGTTTCCCTTTGCGCATATACCGTGAGTGAACAGAGTTGCGTCACGTTGGAGCGCAAAACTCTCCAGCTCGCTATTTTTCAAGCGTTTAGACGGCAACAGTTACCGACAAGCGTCGCTTCTTGCCGAACGAAATCCACTTGTCTGGCAACTCAAGCTCCATACATAGTATCCTGCACTTACAACTGCTCGTAGAGCTCGCTCGTCGCTTCGTTGATTGCGAGCACCCCTTTCGTCAGGACTTGATCCTTCCGCGATTTATACCCGGCGCACGAAGCGCGACGACGAGCTGCTCGATATTTCGCTAACGACGCCCTATCCATTTCGCTAATTTTATAATTAATTCGAGCCAGTAATTCAGTGCAATATACATTAATCAACTCGAATTGACTTCCTCGATAAACATTTGTGCATTATTATTGGTGTCACATTACCTCGATAACAATTATGATTAATAAATTCGTTATAGCTACAGTTGACCATATCAAGCGAGACGAGCACTTGCAGTTTGTAGTTGATAATTATTTTCTCACATTGGTTCGACTTACTATTTCATGCAATCATAAAAAAACCGATCATTTTCTATCGCATTCGACATAACGAATTCTTACAATGCAATTTCGAATCGCTTACTCTTAAGGTGGAAGTCTTAATTCCAGTCCAGTCTTAACTCTGTCGATGCGAATCTATTTTGCTTGCGTAAGGTGAATGTCCCAATTAACGACCGTAACCCGATTTGTGACAATTTCATCCGTTTTATCTAATAAATTCATTAATACGGGTCTACATTTATCTTGAATATGTATTTTACTTTAAATTTGCTATATTGTGACAAGTTTCGAATAAAATCAAGAATCACGGTAAATACTGAAAAATAATTTTATAAATGTTTTGTAACTAACAGTAACAGCTCAAACTTGCCGACATCTTAGAGTACAGGGTGTGGCTCCAAAATCCGGACAAATTATACATTTTTTCTAAACATATTTTTTATTGCAAAAACGAAAAGATTTACAAAATTTTTTTAACCACATTGTTTGTAAGGCCATAAAGAACACATTTACTCAATATATCCAGTATATTCATCTCAAGATATTCCAGTAATGATTGATTATTATTTTTTATTAACAAATTTATATATTTTTTTTATTTTCACGATGACTTTGTCATTAATTAGGACATTTACCTTACGTCACAAATTAGGTTAAAACTATACTGTCATATTATTAAATATCTCTCTCAGCCATCTTGAAGAAATATAGATAAAATCGAATCTTCCCACGTAAATAAAAAATATTACATAACTGAAACCCCAAATGTTCAAGTTTCCCAACAAAATCAATTTTATTTACTTATCTAAACACGTTTTAATTGATTAATTTACTTTCACGAAGTTACTTGGAGAGCTATTCGTGGAAATGGACCTGTTCGTGGAAAAGGATCCTGGAATATTTTTGCAAAATTCTCTTTTCCCCAATCTGGAGAATGTCGATTCAATCAGAATCCATTCCGAACAAGTTCGCAATAGCTTCCTCGGTTACTAATTGGGACATTCATCTTGTTGCAGTTTTGCAAACGTCGCGTTTACGTCGTCATTTTTTCCAAAAAACCATCTGCCCGCAGGAAGCGTGCTGTTGGAGCTGCGTCGCTTGCCGGGAGGACGCTTATGTGTACAACGACACGTGCAAGAATTGTTACCCCGGCTACGCGCCAAATTCCACGATGACCGGCTGCATCAAGCTCACCGCGGAAGTTATACCCTGGACGAGTCCTTGGGCGCTAGTACCGTTGATCTTCGCGTCCATCGGGATCCTCAGTACCCTCTTCACTACCATCGTCTTCATACGGTGAGTCGCATTTTGTTCAACGTCTTCTCATCTTTCCTCCTTTTTATCTCGTACACTCGAGATATTGTATTTCCAGCGTGTTATATCTCGACGACGAGATTCCTCCTTTGGGGAAGGGGGAATATAGCCTTCGCGATACATACCGACGATCAAAGATGCGAACGAGCGAAAACGCACTCCAATATCTTTCTTTGTAGTAAAAACGAAGAGGGATTGAGTGCGAAGTAACGTCATCGAGAATGAGAGCTTAAAGAGGTCCAAAGCCGGCGCTTGCGAAGTGAAAATTTAATCAAAGGCTTAATTAACGAGCTATTAAACTTACTTAATTAGAGGAAGTAAAAGGTTCGACGCACTGAATTACAAATGCGCAAGGGGGGAGTTTTTAAGACTCAGACCTCAATTTTCTTTTTAAACTCTACTCGCGTCGACAAGTTAACTCAGAAATTAGACGCGCGTGACTTTTTATGAGAGATATAATTAACAACTTGAATTAATTGTCGGGTCTCTGTTGATGTTTAAAAAGTATCATATGCTTTAATATCAAAGACTCTGAAAACAATTCAAAATTACAACGAAAAAAAGTTTTCACTCGCTCTGTCTGTACGAACAAGCAAAGTTAATTGATGGTATTTTTGCAAACAAAGCCTGACGTGTATCGTTAACTCTCTACAATGTATGTACAGAAAGGCGTGAAAATTATTAAAATAATTTTCGTTCCTTTATATATGTTAGTTTTCCCTAATTTTTTTTCCAATAAATGTCTAATTTTAGGAAATATTATAATTTGTTATCGATATTCTTCTTATAGGTTTTAAATGATTACAGGTTTGTATTACATAAAATATATAAAATAATGACGGATTATTTCACAAAAATAAACTTTATCCCAACAATAAATTTTCCGGGATTTTTTCTTAGTATATAAGTAATCCATTTTTATAAATATAAAAATATTTATTTTTACCTACAGAATAAATCTTACAATTAAAATCTAATATAATATATATTATACATTATATATATTATTAAAAGTAATAGTGTGTAGGCTCTATAATGTTACAAACAACGACGAAGAAAGCAAAAGGCAGTAAGAACCAAGGCATTGTATATATAATATGATATATATCCGTTATTTACGTAAGTTAATCGTCCAATATGTAATGCAAATCATTTTAAATCTATAAGGAATATTGATATCAGATTGTAATATTTTCTGAAATTAAGCATTTATTAAAAAGAACAATTAGATAAAACGAAAAAAGAAATCAAAATTATTTTAATAATTTTCATACTTTTGTAATTTTGAAATATATTCTTTAACACCTATTTCGTGTGTTTATCATTGTATAGCTTATAACAACAATATTACCATCGACCAATCTATTTATAATAATTATTAATTCCTATTACTCACACCAAAGTGGATGTTATTTAAAGATAATGAAATATTAATGAATTTGGAATTTAATTATATTCCATAATTTATACTTATATTCCATAATCAAAAATCTACTTTTTCTTGCAATATCGTTTTGTTCGACAAAAACGAAGAGGATAAAGAGGATACATAACTTGAGACGTCACATTTTTTTGACATTTGACTTCGCCTTCAATCCTCTTATGGAACCTTCGTACTTGCGCAATTGCAGATTCAATCGCACCCCGGTGATCATGGCGTCAGGTCGCGAGCTCTGCTACGTCCTGCTGGTCGGCATTCTCTCGTGCTACGGCATGAGCTTCGTCATACTGAGCAGGCCGACCACGTGGAATTGCACGTACTTGAGAATCGGCCTCGGTCTCTGTCTCAGTATATGCTACAGCGCGATCCTCACGAAGACCAATCGCATATCGCGGATATTCAACCAGAGCACGAAGAGGATCAAGAGGCTCTCCTACACATCGCCGAAGAGCCAAGTGGTAATAGCTAGCGGTGAGTACGAGTTGCACTCACCTCGGTAAACACGCCGACGAGCCAACCGGATCGAGAGGATAATTGCGCGCCGATGTTTGACGCAACGATGAAATAAAAGCCCGAAACCGTGCGCGATCGCAAGAAAGGGAATAATGGCCCGGTCCTTACGACGGAGTTTCGTATCGCCACTTCACGCGTAGGAGCCCATCAATTAGGACGATCTGTCAGAGTCTATCCACATTGTCCCGATCACGATTAAGCGTCACACCTTACACTGATCGTCTCATAAGTAGCTGCGTATTTATTAAGAAAAAACGAAAAATAACTTGGCTAAAAAAGAGCTGTAAGACAAAATTTGAATTTGTTAAAGTTTCCACTATATATAAATTGAACTATTATTTTTTCCAACTGCTCATTAGAAAAAGACTGACCATTCG